GCACCTCCACCTTCGTCCCCTACCGGCTGGGTCACAGGTTCCGAATGCTGACCCTGCTGTCGGGTGTCCTGTGACTGCCTCGCGGTGCCAGGAGCTGGGCTCTGGGGGCCACAGGTCAGGCTGTCAGAGAGGGCGCTGGAGGACGAGGCTGGACGAGGGCCTCCACTGCTGCTTCAGGCGTTTGCTCTGGGATCCTCTTGTGCAGCCTGAGGACACTCGCCTCACTCACCTCCCCCACCCCACGCCCCGTCCCCACCCCATTAAGTGTGGCTTCCCAGGGGTTCACGCAGGTGCCCCTACTGCCACCAGCCTGCCAGCCACCCCCGAACAGTGTATCCTGTGTGCCAGCCCAGGCCACAGCTCCCAGTGGTCCAGCAGGCTGACCCTGAGGGCATTTCCTGCTGCTGGCAGGTGTGAAGCAGGCCTGGCCCAGGGCCAGCCCACATCCCCACCTTCTCTTCAGGTTTGTTTCTTCCCTGGGTAATGTCCCTTCGCCTTAGGCTCAGGGCATGCTCTTTAGGTGCCTCCTGACAGCTAACCCTGTGGAGTGCTCCGCAGAGGACCTGATGCACAATATCTTTGTTTCTTGCTGGAAGAAGCAGAGGTGAGCTGGGGGCAGGGAGGGACAGTGGGAGGGGCTCCCAGAGGAAGGGAATGTCTTAAAGGGTCAGTGAGGGAGCCAACTGGGAGACTAGATGCAAGAGCTACTAAGTAGCTTCTCTCCCCCTTTGAATCGCGGCTAGCCCGGGAAACACATTTTACAATTACAGAAATCGCTTCTGGGAGACCAATGGTAGTGTGGGAATGGGACTCACAGGAGGTTATATTTAGCTAAAAACAATAGAACAGAGAATACCTTGTGGATATCATCTTGTACTGTAAGACTGAGACCATGAAAACCTTGAACAAACCATCCCAAAATAGAGCAGCTTCATGGACTCTTTCCATCTTGCAATTCAACAAGGCTCATCCCACTTGGCTACTCACCTGCCCATATTTTGGAGAAATGATTAGACTTCCGTTGTTCATGGGGACTCCAGCTGTCCAAACAAGAATCAG